CCGGATCAGAAGGGCCTTCTCCATCGAAAATGTGTGCACCTAATGCCTCTGCAAAGAAGCGGTGAACTCGAACAAAGGCCTCAGATTGTGTGATCATGTCTCCAGCCGTGGTAGGGATCTCAATAGTTTCAATCACTGCGGAGGGCACGTACAGCTGTGTTGGTGAGATGTCTGAGGCATCAGGTTTCTCACCCTCATCGAAGCTAATATGCGCAACCTTGACCGAAGCTGCATAGACTTCCCACTTTTTCGAGATGATGACCAAATCAGAGATCTGTTCAACCCTAGAGGCGACAACCATGCCATGCCTCAGGGTGACTTGCGTCAAGGCATACTGGTCAAGTTCGATGCAGGATCGAAGCAGGTCATGAACCGACCATGTGGGGTCACAAGAACCCTCAATGCCATGTGCACCCTGACAATTGGTGATCACACACTTCATGGCAGACGACTCTCCCATGGGGCTCCGGAAAGGAATGCGTTCAAAAGCAAAGGCAGCCTTGGAAATTGTCAAAAAATTTCCCTCAATCTGCACAAGAGCATTATGTGACGTAAGGCGGCTTGACCAAATGTCATGAACAATCTGAAGAATTGGGATGGTCTCAACATGGATAGCCTGCAATCCTACCAAAATGGCGAGAGCAGCTTGAGGAACTGCAATGGCATTACCAAGGACATGGTATGCATCAACCGGCTGATACTCAACTGAGACCCTGGTTTGGCCCCCCAACAAAGCAACAATACGAGTAGGTTCAATCCATTGGAATCCATCAGGTCCTGAAGAAAAGAACGCAAAAAGGCCTCTTTGAGCGACATGGTGTGAGGCAAGCTCATGTTGATGGCCGTATGAAGCACAAATGGTGGGGAGTGGGTCCATCGGGTTGACAACACGTTCCCTCAAAACCGAGTCGATCACTGCATCTGACGCTACCCTGGCCTTCTTGGCTGGCGGGAGCAAACCACGATTGCCATACAATCGTTGCAGCTCTTCGGAAAGAAGCAAGCTTTCTCGAACATCCTGAGGGAGGGGGAAGTCATACAGACTGGATGACCATTGGCACACTTGCAAGGCTTTCAATTGGAATTGTTCTACAATAGATGCAGGGTTCATATCAAGTCGGGCCCATGCAGACACCCATCGACTCCTCATGTTGTGGGACATCGGATGATATTCAACCACCTGTTGCCAGATCCTACGAAAACCACAAAGTTTCAGCAAATGGGAGACAAGTCCAAAGTGTGGGTGCTTCACGATCTCGTCTGCGCATTCATAGACTTGGAGATTGGGCTGCAGGATAACAGTAAGGACAACAGCTTCGATGAACGAGTACCCCGCTGAGGAATTGAGGCCTTGAGCCTTACCTCCCTTACTCCATGTCACACAAGGGGGAGACGCTGTTCCGACAAGATTGGAGCGGACTCGAATCTGATGGCACAAACTGCAGTCATTCACTGGAGCACATAGTCCTACATGTGAGCTGGGGCACCAGGGGTGCTCAGGTGCAGTCGATCCGAAATGCACTGGCTTCTCAAACTGGTTGGCCCAATTCTGCATGGTACGGGGATCACTGTCAACATAGAATTGCTGAGCAACATCGTGAAAAGGCTCAAATCTACAGATCGCCTCAAGCGCTTGTGACCACCCGCAGAAAGATCCAGAAAACATGTGGATCGCTGAGATCGGACTCCGCGGCTCCCAAACTGGAACATTCGCAATGATCGTGTCTTTCGTCATGTCGAATCGGTTGGGGTAAGTCTGAACTAAACCTCCAAAGAAAGTCACAACATCCCCTTGTTGAAAATGCCAGTCTCGAGAGCTCAAATCCGGCACCACGATCTCCCAAGTTCCCTCTCCTGAGAAACCAAAACCCTTCCCTGGGGAAAAGCTTCTGGGCCGCACCCACAACGATGATCCTGAAACGTCACGCACTTCTCCCTGAAAAAGCACTTTCCCAGCAATGCGAACAAAGGGGCCAGCACTACCAAAGGAAATGAAAAGCTCCTCAAGGCTATGCTTCCAGGGATCATCAATCTTAGATCTAATCATCTCTATCAATCGTGAGCCCATAATGCCACCAGACCACAACAAAGTCAGAACCACGGCACACTCCACAAAGACAGGGCTGCAAGTCCGTTGGCGGTCCTGCTTGATGGACGATGCACCCACCTTTCGAGGGTGGCAAGCACCCCTAGGTGGCCCTACACCTTCAGCCACTCGGCTTTGGGCCTAGATGGCTACGACTGTCTGTCTTGTTCATCGCTCGTTCAGGAGGCCAAAATGTCGGGATTGAATCTTGAGAATGAAGGAGTCTTTGACTGCAAGAGAGTCCATCCAGTGTCACGGGAGTCTGCCAGCTCGGAGTTTTTGTACACCTCAAGATGAAAGTGTCCACGAAGCATTCAATGGAATGAATGCGGGGTGAGCTTGGAGTGCCTACCAAGGTCCTGTCTTCACAAAGCAACATGTCTTCACAAGAGCTTGAAGGTCTGGAATGCAAAGGCGGGATTCTTGTCCAAAGGTAAGAGCTCTTGCTGACCATTCAGCTCTGAAGGCCTTCGGATCCGAACCTTTCAACCGAACCACTCAGGGTCATGGCTGAAAAACTCACCTATAGCATGAACTTCCTATTGAACTGGTTCGAAGACCCACTTCGTTCAGGACCTCAGTGTGGTTCGGCGGCCCATGGGGAAAATCCGAAGTAAAACGACGTTAGTGGGCATCGGAGGAGTTTGGCCGGAACCGGATGTGTTCTGACACGAACATCAGTTGTAGGATCAGGTGATCAACCATGCTGTAGATTTGGATGTGCATTATAATCTGGAGACCCCCAACAAATGGATGTTGCTCTGTGTCCATTCTTCCGGGGGGTTGAACTGGGAGGTCTCCCTCACTCACTTGAGTTTATATCAGGTGGAACATGACCAGGAGATGATTCATGGCTTGTGAAGGTTGCAGGTGAGGATCTGCCCAGTTCGCTTTTTCTGAAGAGGCTTAAGAAGCGATCAACGCCTTGATGGCTCCACATGAAGCGGTTCGGCCACGCTGGCTTGGAGCATAAATGATGGTGATTTGATGTGATTTGTTTGTCCATATTCCATTTGGACAAACTTGAGAGTGCCACCTTCGGATTGTGAGACGTGGTTTTGAAACACTGCAACAAGGGGTGGTCAATCTGCCTGCATGGAGCCAAGTAGCTAAGTCAAACACTGTGCAAGTAGCTAAGTTAAACACTCTGGAGGCTTTCGTGCATGCTGCTCTCTCTCTCTCTCTCTATCTCGCTCCCTCGCTCCCTCGCTCCCTCGCTCCCTCCCTCCCTCGCTCCCTCCCTCCCTCCTTCCCTCGCTCTCTCTCTCTCTCTCTCTCTCTCTCTGGGTCGCATGATTTATGTAATCAAGATCAAAAATCAAAGCAGGGAGATTACATGGCATGATAGCCTTTAGGCTGTTCCAGTCGCCGAGATTGTGCTTCATCCCAAGTTATCCCACCCAGCAAGTCCAAAGGACGGGTTAAACTGGTGCGTTCGCGTAAAGGACACATTTCACCTCCCAACTTCCAAGACCTCATTTTCACAGGTTGTTCACGGCCTTTCACCCCGTTTTCACGGGTTCTTCACGTGCTTTTCACGGGTTTTTCACGGCCTTTTCAAGCTTCCAGCTCCCGTTTTGCTAAAGCACCGGTTGAACCGGTGCGTTACTAAAGAACTGGTTAAACTGGTGCGTTGACCCACTGGGCCAGGTAGCTTCGTGCCCGAGAAACCACGCCTTGCTCCATTCTGTTCCAGGGATGCTCCGCTGGACGACATCAGGGGCTTCATTTCGAGAAACGGCAGGATGCATACGAGAATGACGGTACATCGTGGCAGCCTTTTCGATCCGCTGATCAAGATTCATGAAATCTTCGTCAGTGGCAGGCCTCCGAAGACGATTCAGATCACCAAAGTGGATTCGCACACGAATTGGAGGATTGCAGATTATGATCATGCGGCTATTGGAGGGTTCTGCGCGTGGATACTCTGCAGAGTTGCTGGGTGAACTCACTGGGCTATTTCACGATCAGGAACGGGACATATGTTCTTTCTTGTCGTTGGAATTCCACCAAGTTTGGACAGAGAGAATTTCACCCGTAATATACTCAGAAAGGTCATGAAAAGCCACTAGAAACTACTGAGACAATACAAAATGTATCCAAATATGGGGGAAGACCCAACACATGACAAACCCACTTGTTGGGTGGCCTCCCTCAACGACTTGAAGACATATATATATATATATAGATCATAAACCTATGCCACGTGCTGCTAATCAAGCTGCCCTCTGGCCGCTCAACTTCTGCGAGCCCCGGCAGCAGAAAGAGCCACGGTGCCAGCCACTGTGCCACTCGTGGTGCCATTTGGAGTGGCGATTGCGGCGCTTGAGGAGGTTCTAATTGAACCAAGATGGATTCAAAGAAAGCTCAAGTCTAAGACCAACTGGTGGGAGCACCCCAACCAATGGGCTTCACAGTAGTGCCTTTCCTTCTAGTAGGGGTTCTCGATGGAGTCATGGAGTCATCCAGTAACACAAAACCATCTGTCAAACCATGCTGACAAATCTGTCCATGCTTTCACGCACGACTGTCCTTCAGAATTTCTCATGATGTGTCGAATCACCACCTCGTTTCAATGTCGGTTCGGTACCCGGTGACAAAGAGGGTTCAGTCCCTACCTTTCTTTTCGGGAGCGAGCACTGGAAGGCTAACATTTACACCTAAGTCACCTGAGTGAACAATGTCAGCACTGGGAAATCTCTCCATTCTTTGAAGAAATGGCACCATTGTTGATTCAAAGCCATCTCTCTCCACCAAGAATGAGACAAAGAGAGAACCACACGACCCTATAAATAAAATCCCGGGCACCCACACTGCCAGGGCTTTGCAGCCCGCAGGAACTGATCATGTTCATCTTCGGTTGCATGACCCCCACCCCCAAAAAGCATAAGTGTCACTCCCAGAAACCACCGGCCTTGCTGACTAGGCGTTCTCTGCCTCATCGCGAAAGAAGCGACTAGAAGATCCACAAGGAGCCAGGGTGTGAAGGTCGGTGGACCTAGCTGGTGAAGAAGAAGCAACTCTTCTTTCTGTATGGCAAGTCATTCACTATCGTTCTGGTGCATCTGGCCACTCATGTAGAGACTGCTTGGACCGTGCTCAATCACTTTGGAGCGAGTAGCCGGCATTCAAGCATGTCCTGAGACCCTACAAGTAGGAGAAAGTAGGAGTAAGCTTGCAGGGCTGAAAGCACGATTTGGTTGCAAGTCAGCATGGCTTGTGAGACTTCACCTCTTCGAAAGGGGAAGGCCTTTTCACCATGAGCTGCACTGTCACGCGAAAAACTGTGAGTCTCTGGGACATGTCTTCCAAATGAAAGTCACTGTCAAATGATGAGATCATCACAATGATAGCAGAGTCACCTGGTAGATTTTTAGAAAGATCTCTCGGAAGGTGGTGAACTCCACTTCCATGAATATGTCAAGGAGTATAGGTGAAGGGATGTGGATCTCACATGCTAAGTCCAAATTCGCCTTTTGGCAGTTCCAAAGGAGTGGTTTTGAGTTTCACCTCTACCCTCCAAGTTCGGCACCCCAAGTTGGTCCTGGCAAACTCATTCGCAGTTGTCACTGAACTCTGAAGACTTCGAAGCTGCACGACTTGGAACACCCGGTGATCCTCGGTCCCTCGGTGGACCTCTCGGAGGTGTAACCCGCCGGTCCCTTCGTTTCCTTGCGCCTCAGCCCGGTCTAAGGCCCAAGACTTCCAGCTTGCGTCACTCTCAGGGCCTCCGGCTTCCAAAACCACAGCGCACACACTCACCTTGACACCTGAACAGCAAGAGGGACAACTAATTTATAGCGTTTTCTCGTTGAAGACTTGATCAAAGTATATCAAAGTTCAGTGATGCTATAGAACCCCTTCAAAAAATGTATTTCCTTCGAATGACGCAATGGCTCGCTTGGAGGACGCGCAATCCTGGCTTGACCTGGGCCCCAGTCGAGGCCCGCGGCGCACGCCATTCACCCGGACCGGACACGCCTCGGCGCCGAAGAATCGTTCAAAGACTTGCTGCCAAAGTGGCTCACCGGAGATCACCTGAGGTGAAAACGCTGAGGCTCCAAGGGTCTTTCATCTTTCAGAGTCTTTCCTGGTGATTTTCAGCCCAGTTCACCGGTCAGAGTCTCAAAACCTTCTTCAACCAGACAATTCGCCTCACCTGGGTGGCTGATTGTTCACTCCTTTCTGTCCTAGAGAAGCTCCCTGGTCTCTGCTTTATCACACAGGGTGCTAAGAAACTATCATATTTGGGATGAGGAAGTTTGACAAGCCCTCCCGTATGCAGGTCCATGCCTTGCCAGGAGCATGCACAGGTTGTCGTACCTCGCCAGGGCAAACTTGGTTGATTGTATTGTATTTCCCCTAGGCCCTAGACCTTCAAAGCATCGACGGGGCGTCCTTTTTGGCATCGAGATCTCCCGTGTTCGCCTCTCAAGAGACCTCGACGGAGCCGGCTGTCCAGTCACAAACCATTCCTTCACGGGTCCAATGGACCCGCCAAACACCCCGTTCGTTGATCCACTGATCGTTCTGAACTCCAAACAGTGTGGTCACACGAAAAAAGGTCGGCGTTCGTTCTCCTACTGTAACACTGTGTTGGGGTCTCTCTTCGGGACAGTTGTTGGCAGAATGGATGAGATAAGAACGTCCTCCCTCTGGGCGCACCGAGGTCGCTGGTGACGGAGCCTCAAAAGCATCACGGATCCTTCGGGAAATGGGAACTTCAGAAAAGTTAGGTGTCGCGGCGGCGGAAAAAGATCCCAACAATCTCTGGATGGAATATTTATAGAGACAGAGAGAGACTTTGGACTCAACCCGAATTTTTAAAGCGGCCCCCCACAACTCTTGGCATGCTCTTGGCTCATGTGGTGGGCGCTGTTGCTTTTCGGGCTTTCTGAAATCGCCCTTCGCCTCGAGACGCAACAGTTTTCGGGCGGCAGTTCACCGGCTTTGGCTCCAGACTTCGTCTTGGAAGCGGTACTCACATTAAGAGAAACCTCTTTGGAGGGGAGCAAGGACAAGCCTAATAATTGAAAAGAAAAATAAACTATATATGGAGATATATATACAGTATATATAGATATATAGATATACGATATATATGTGTGTGTGTGTGTCAAACCCTGTCCCTAAGGGCTTTCCACTTCTGATTTGTTTTCAAGCAGGGGCGTGTGACACTCTTATCCTATCACACGCAACGAAGCTGTGGATAAGAGTGGGAAGGGAAACTTGGCCAGTTTCCTGTACCTGCGACGCAACTGTTGATCACGCTTGTCCAATTTTGCTTTTTGATTCCATGGTTGTTTCATGCTACTCCCCCCAAACCCTTTTTCCACCGCTGATGTGCCGCCGCGCTGATCGTTCTGCAGTCACGCAAAACAACTTGTTCAACCTTTCAAGTGAACTGACTTTTCTCGCCTTGCTGTTCTCTCACCTTTTTCCACTTGGGAATAGATTAACTGAAAACCAATGTCAGAGTGTGTGTTTGAACGTCTTGTCCTTCCGACAGCTCCACAATGCTCCACGTCCTGAGGACCCGCACCGGCACTGGCCGCTGTCCCGGCGCCGGCGGCGTGGTGGACGCAGCGGCGGAGTGGGGTGCAGTCGACGCGGTCAGCGCGGTCGACGCGGTCAGCGCGGCCGGCGCGGCCCAGGCCACAGGCGTTGGGAGGGCGGAGGATGCCACATGGCCCCAGACGGGCATCGGTGGTGCTAAGGGTTGGCCCTGTAGAGTCTCCAGCTGCCACGAAGCCTTGGACAAAGGCTCGGTGAAGCAGACCGCAGATGTTGACAGGAAAGGTGAAGGACTTCGCGGAGCGACTGAGGAAGCCAAATAGACTAAGAGTTTTGAAGCCACTGGTCTCTGAGTTACGACTGCTTTTCTCACTCAGGTTGACCGGTGCTTTCGGGGGGAGTTAAATCCTTTCTGGTGCTGCCGACCCTGCTAGATGGACCCCCGCTCTTCAAGAAGCCGACCACGAGAGAGAGAGAGAGAAAACAAGCAACTGCTGGGAGTTAAAATGTCAACATCTGAGCTCTTCCAAAAACTCTCCAGTTCGCACCTGCAAGGCTTCCACAGGATCACGCTTCACATGAGGCTTTACAGGAATGGCATGCGTGACGTGACCCTCCGAACGTCTCGCCATGTTCACCTCCGAACCTCCAGCCGGACGTCACACCCGCCCGCGGGCTCCCGGCCTCGCAAGGACCCGGAGCACCGGGCACCTGCATCTCCACTTCCAAGGTGACAGTCTCGTGCGGTGCGACGGATCTCTCATGACTTCCCACTTTGGAGGGCTTGAGACTTCCACCTCAGCGATCCGATCACGAATTGGTTCACGTGGGACCTTGGGGCCGTGGGACCTCGGTTGGGTGACGGCACACCGGGAACAGGATGGGAACCAGACCCAAACCCCCAAAACATGATGGAACTGCAGGTCGTTTTTGGGGCCGCTTTGGCTTTGGATGCCTTCTCTGTGGACGTCTGCGCTAGGGCCCCCCCCGCGCTTGCCAGACTGTTCCCCCAAATCCAGCGAATTCGGATTGGGTGTTCTCTGGTCACCCGGTCGACCTGGTTTGGAGAAAAACTGCCTCACTTGATCTCGATCGAAGAAAACCCGGGTGATCCCCCCCCCCCTGTTCACCGCGGCCAATTCAGCCTCATCCAGCCATCCCCGTGAAAACCCAATAAGAGAGCCCTGCGGGTGGCATCACCACCGAGCATCACCACCAGGACACCTTGATGGACCTACCGAGACTTGCGCACGGTCTCCACACGTCCAGAGGGCCCTTCGTTCGCTGGCTACCAGGAGATGGTTGACCCACACGGTGGAGAGGCTCCAGGCTTTGACCCATCCCCAAAGATCATTGTATGATACCCCCTCCGCAGATGAAGATGTGAAAGACCATCCTTCGGATGTGAACTTCTCTGTCATGTTCTTCAACTTTGGAGTCGACAGTCAGGTGGCATTCCTGATGCTACACAAATCAACCTGGGGTTCCCCCAAACACAACAGGCCCCAGAAAAAGCCAAGCCATCCCATCAGCCATGCCATCCCAAACTTGGCTCAAGCGAAGCACCCAGGTAGCGTAAGTGACAGCCGGGCCAGGCTTCTTGAGAACTGTTTGTGAAGGTCCATTCCACTGTCACCAGCTGTTCAGGGGGCACACGGCCCAGCAAAGTGGCTCCAGGTGAGTTGTCCTCACTGGTCGGTGAACAGCAAACCTATTGAAAATATAAAAATCATGGCCAGCTTTGGCATGTGGAACTGCTATGAAAAGCAATTGAAACCAAGGTGTTCCATGCTCAGTTGACTTGAATGGTGGTTCTCCACGAAAGTCTTTTGTATGACGTACTTCTTTTGGGGGGCTTCCAGTCAGGGAAACAACAAAATCACTAGCAATCACTGGGAGTCAGATTGCAGACTCTGAACGGCCAGCAAGGCTGCTTTGCTTGCTGCTTGTTCCACCACAGGCTGTAGGGCCGGAAGTAACCGGCTAATTAGCGCGTCGCAGACAGCGTCCAAGTGACCCGGGAACGCCATGCTGCCCACGTCCATGGTTGTTGTCGAACCAACAAGACCAAGGAATGCTGACTGGCCTTTCCTGCTCCGTCGCCATGTCCAAAGATTGCGTTGAGGACCCTTGTGCCATATCTAAAGCATCGGAGGCCAAAGAAAGGTTCTTTTTTTCGGGATTCACGCCCCAGAGTTCAGACTCCAGTTGGTATTGGCCAAAATAGGTGAGCAACTTTGCAACTCTCAGCGGTCTGGCAACCACAGTGGTTGGATGCTCGGGATATGCTGCAACAAATCAACCATATTCTCAATCATTCTTACTAACGTGGCTCCTAAGTGTATATATATAAGTACTTTCTTGCGAAACTGAAGCAACTCTCTGATTGCTAATTACTGTACTGTTCGGTCTTGACAATCTTACCATGTCTACTAAACCTGCTGCGTTGAATGATACCAAATGATACAAGCATTTCAGTGATCTTGAGAATTCATGTTTTTCAAGCTTTTGAGCTGTGAGCCAGTGGCTGCTTGGAATTCAAGCGAGGCCCCAGTTTACATGTCCAACCCAAGTAATCAATGAGCACGAAGGGTCTGCCTTTGCTGATCCACTCACCTTTGTGCCTTGAAGAGTCCAGCCTTTGTTGGAAACAGTTTCTCTGCATTGTGACAATAATGCCTAGATCGCACGCCACGGCACGTCTGGATGGATGACACGTCTGCCATGGCAACTGTCTTTGCTGAAGCGCCAAGACGCAACTCATTCGAGATTCGCACTGTATAACCTCGCTTTGCGATTTTGCCAACTCCAAGCTCAAAAAGAAAAACGGATGTGTTTGCCGAGAACTGTTGGAGGTGTTTCCAAAGTCCAATCGCAGAGGAGGGGCACGATCAACGATCACCAAAAAACGATTCGTAGCCTAGCTGTCAAGCAGAACACGAGGACCGTCGTCGACAGTCGTCTCGCAAGTCTGCCTATGGAGAACCATGTCCACGCAGGCAGAACTTCACCAGACTCGGTACAGGAAACCAGCGGTCGATCGGAGATGATTTGGTGTGGGTCCGCGTGGCGCTTGAAATGGATTCAGGGTGCGGGCCTGGTCTTGAGTGTCATGTTCGATTCTCCGATCAAAGTGCTTGCAGGAAGTGGAGGTTGTCTTCTTCCTTGAATTCACTTGTCAACCCTTTTGGCTGTTGTTGCCTCCAAAAAACCAAGCGTTGTCCCGGAATCAGAAACTAAAGTCAGCTCCCAAGTAGTCAAACACACATGTCCAACAGGTTACATATTGTTTCACTTTCTGGGTGAAATTCTGCTGACTACCCGCACTCACGCCGCCAATCGATCGTGCATTGCTGCAATGCTGCTCGAACCTCCTCAAGCCGAGCAGTAGCTGGTGGCCCCACACGATGCGTGCGAAACCATGTAATCAGGAGGCCAGCTAAGTCGATGTTGTTTCAGTGTTCATCACTTCCATGTGTTTGACAAATTTGGCTGTTGATACCTTTTAATGGCTACTTCTTTGCAGGCTCTAGCTACAACCACAACCCCATTGCCTGCAAGAAGCCAAAGATCCGGAAGTCCCTAGCGCTGACAGCCCTGGGAAGTAAAGAAGTACGCATCTTGAAAACAGGCATTCAGGAATCTCTCCAATAAATCAGCCTCTGCTAGTACACATCATGGAATCATTATGGGTCAAAAGAAAGACTTCACCCAGCAAACGAGGTTGACGACAAAAATACAATTTGGTGCTCACGCCAAAAAGATGCTACAGTAAGTGTCAAAGTGCTATATTAAATATTATAGTTCAATTGTTGCGAGAACGTCAAAAATACTGGGAATGTCCAGTTTGCGGGGTCACTGGAGACATGGTATGCATCAGCTCCGCACTTGGACTTAGCCTCTTAAAGGTAAATCTGGCCTACAAGGTGCCCAAAGAATCCCGTATTGTTCATCAAGTCATCACCGGATTGCAGTTCATTAACCATAAGGTCGTTAAAGAACAATGTGTACGTTATACGTATGACTTACTACGTTATATAATATGTGTATATATATACACAGTATACATGTCCTACCTGGTTCACCTGAGACTTGAGACAGTGAACGTTTCCTCACTTGCCCGCTTCAGACAGTGAGAGGTTGTGCTACAATGTGTAGGGCTTTCGTCTGCCATCACTGGTACACATGTGTGCGAAAGACAACACGAATGCAACCATCTGGCCCACCCCCAAAAAATTCGCCTTGAGATCCGCATGCGTGCGCAAGAACATGCACGCAAGCATCTGCCCACCCCCCAAACCCCCCTGAGATACATATCAAGACGTGCGAGACGATGAGAAAGCGAGTACAGTACCTAAAAGCACGCGACGGACGAACCCGCGGAAAGAATCGGACAGTTCTAAATTGGAAATTCCACTGTGTTCTATGTAAAAACGACAAAAGACTTGCGCAGTAAAAGTGTGCTCCTGCCGCGCAAAATGTCAGCAAAGCAACATTGCAAAAGCACGACGCAAAATACATATAGAAATAGCCGTGCTGCAATTTCGTACTACTGCCTCAAGTAAACCCGTCTTAGAAAGAACTACACCACCTGACATCATGCACCAAAAGCACATCGCAAATAGAATTAAGATGAACTAAGGAAAGGGTTGATCAAAATGACTTCACACTGCCACATCACAAGAATTGCTGCCACTAACATCAAATTGCACTCCACACCAAAACTTTCCTGTCCGTCATTCCTTGGCGGAAGCATCCTTCCCCCCTTTTGCCGAAGACTAATTGGTACTTGTAGGGTTTGATTTCGCCCCCCCCCCCGCGTTGTTGGACACAACTCACCCCGTCCAAGCCCTCCTTGATGGGAGCATTCTGCGAGAGCACCTGCAACCGAGAAGGGCCAAGCCACCCAAACCGAGGACTCTCGCACCCTCACCACGAGCTTCATCGTGTCGACACGATGTAAGTGTTGTCCAGTGTCGAGGAGTCCAGTCGACTAGAATGGTCCTTGCAGTCCTTTCGGTGAGCGCAAAAGGAAAAGAACATGACTTCGGTGCCACAGAGTCGAGCTGGATGTCTCTGGCGTTGACCGAATTCTCCCGTTCGACGGTGACACTCCAACTCGACGGTGACCGCCATGGAAGAGGAAGACCCAGAAAGCCAGCAGTTCCAGAGGCTCAGGGTGCTGAACTTGGAGGAGCTCCGGGTTTTTCTCATCACAGCCACTCACTGGAGGGGGCTAAAAGCCACGGAACATCCTCCCATCTTCCAGGTGAGTCGGGTGTTCGTGTCTTCCAATGGACCTTGGTAGCCTGGCACGATGTTCCCATTTCAGTGATTGGAAATCTAGGACGTGGGTCTCCCTATTCCAACACGTGCTACCGACTTAAGAAATATAGTATTTTAAATATATATATATACAAAAGATGTCAACAAAAAGAAACCCATGTAACTTTTCTTTGCATCGTTGCTTAGCACTTGTAGATACTTGTAGTATCTGTGACCTGGTCCTTCAATATTATTTGAGGCACGCCTAGTTCTCTTCTCCATGTGGAGCACTCAGGTCTCGACCGAAGGTTCCATGGAGTTGGCTGGTAGATCCATCGGACCCATCCAGAAACACCCCGGAGCGACCCGTTCGGGTACCCCGAGCGCTTGAACTGCTCGACTGGAATCGGATATATCAAGTACTGTAGAGGCTCAAAAGGAGGATACTCCTAACGTCCCTGGCCTGGTCATGTCCCCCCGAAAACCGAAGCTTCCACCTGTCAAATCTCCAAACCTTGAATCTCAAAATCTGATCAAAAAAAAAGGACAAGATGGAACAAGTTACATGTTTAAAGAAAGAAACTCAACCGGCCAACCACCTGGCCACGGCAGCTGAAGCTGCACGTGGGACCTCCGTCCCATCCCCACCTCGCAGAGCCGCCGTGGCGCCGTCTCGTTGCGCAAGCCGGGCAAGGCTGCCACCTGGGTTTTGGAGGTCGATGGACTGAAAGACCTCACGGGTGACCACCAGGTGGGGGCGGTGAGAGAGAAAACCACGGTCTTTGTGTTTTTTGCCCTCTCCCCGCCCTCCTACTTAATGAAGTAAGGGAGAGGTAGCTAGTAGCTCCTAAGACGCTACTAGTAACTGGACGCAGGATAGCTCACGCTCGCACTAATGATCTGGTTCCTAGATTTTTAGGGAAATTTCATCATGATTCTGTTTGACCAGGTAGTTTGGAGGATATTATGTTTCATGTGTCGAACTCTCTTTAGAGCCCTGACTGCAAAAAGGGTTTCGCCCCGAGGAAACCTACCGGTCAACGTCATGTAGATGAGTGAAACCCTCCGTCTCCAGAATGGTTTTACATGTCCAAACGGCAGCTTTATGAATCAACAGTCTACATTATGAAGACAGTGAGACTTCCAGTTGCTGATTGCTGCCTCCCGCCGAATCAAGGGATCTGAGCTGGAAAATCGCGCCGTTCGCTTGAAGAATCCGAACCGGCTAGTGACTGAGGCTGAAACAATAAATCCACCTGGAAACAACATAGAATCTAAATGGTGGAATAACATCTAAGAATCTATGTCAAGTGGAATCATCTGTGTGTGGTCTTTTTCCTTCAATCTCCTTCAGGAAACCTATGTCTCCCGACCAACGCAAACACTAAACACATGTCTCCTCGACTCACGCCCAGCCCACCAGGAGAGCATACGGGCACCTACCACGAGAACATCCTGATGTGAAGAGGAACAAGGGAACCAAACAGGACTGCCTTCCTTATCTTCATTCATCTTCCGTCTACGAGAAAAGCAACGCACAATGGCACAATGCAGAACTCTGGCCCTTAAATTGGTGCAACTCTTGAATGGATTTTCACTGTTTCAACGGGTACTTCATAAATGGCTGTCGATCTTAAAGTCCGGAATCACGCCCCCAATAAAAGGACCTCCAGTCAAAACGAGCGCGGTAAGACCAACCACCCGGAAATAGCACTGTCGACGTAAGTTCCCGGCCAAGGCTTGTTGAAAGGCATCCATCATGCCCTTCAGCTGCACCTGCGATTTGCACTTGGACAAGATGATCCTTTCCTCATCTCTTCTTCTTTGATCTTCTCTGTAGATCCATCACTACTGCCATCCCAACTCCTTCCATCATGCACCATGGACTCCC